GTGAATTGCCAGGAGCACTTACCCAAAATAAAGTCCTCTAAAACTAAAACATCCTGATCTTTAGGATAACCAAGGGGCTCTGTTCAGACTGCAGCTCTCAGGATTTCTGAATTAGCATGGACTGTGACTGGCTCTGGCTAGATGGGCCAATGCTGTCTGGCTTGGTTGGAGGCTGCTTTCTATCGTCACAATACAAAGGCATGGGGACCACTAACACATTTTTGCCAGTTTCATTAATTCTCTGCAGCAACATCCAAAGGTAACTGGGGCTTGTTTTCCTTTCTTTTGCCTTGGTTTCCTCCCCTCCCAGCACAAATGACCTGGCTCTGAGCCCACCTTTGTTGGCCATGCAGCTCTCCTTCCTGACTAGGGTTCTGTTATCACAGTTGACTCGAGTTAGACCCGTCTGAAGGGCTGACCTCTACACCGGGTTGCAAAGCACTGTGTTACACCCCCTTTGAAGTCTTCTTCAGACTGGTCTAACTCGAGTCAACTGTGATAAGAGAACCCTAGTCAGGAAGGAGACTAGGGTTCTGATATCACACTTGGCACACTAGAGTAGCAGACTCGAAGTGGGAGAAGCTCCTGCGCGGACATGCCTGAAAGAGCGAGAGAGACAGAAGGATCACCTATCAAAACATGAGCAAAGCATTTGTCTTCCTTCTCACTGACCTCCAACCATTTCTTCTCCCTTCATTCTCCTGCATCAAGTTCTTGTCTCTATGTGTTCAAGAGAAAAACTGGGGCTAGACAAGTAAAGAGATGCAGATTTTTGTGATTTGGTCCAAAGGATGTAAGGATCAGCTGGTCTTGTTCTTGCCTGAATGTACACAAAATGGCGAAATTAGGAGAAGAACATCATTGGTGAGGAGGTTTTCTTCTTTCACCTAAATTGCAAGGTAACCTTCCTTTGTGGACTTGAAAAAAGTGGAAGCAATGACTGGGTTGTTTGCATGTTTTTGAACAATCAGCCAGTCAATGTATTCTCGAAGGCTTTCATGGCCGGGATCTGATGGTTGTTGTGGGTTTTTCGGCCTCTTTGGCCGTATTCTGGTTGTTCTTCCTGACGTTTCACCAGTCTCTGTGGCCGGCATCTTCAGAGGACTGGAGTCGGAATTCTGTCTGTGTCTATCGATCTTGTCCCAATCAGCAACAGAGCATGGACAGAGTTCCTACTCCTGTTCCTCGGAAGATGCCAGCCACAGAGACTGGTGAAACGTCAGGAAGAACAAGCTTCAGAACACGGCCAAAGAGCCCGAAAAACCCACAACAATCAGCCAGTCCTTCTGTGTTTGCTCTCTTTTGTGTGCATATATACTTTGCCTCTCCAAAATACACACATTTTGTGAAAACTGTAGAAACCTCAACCAACCTCTCTCTCACACACACCATGGATTTCTTTTCAAACTGAAGGCAAGAAATCTCATGGGGATTAACCAGCCCTCCTCAGGCTATCTCAGTGTGTCAAGAGACAATCTGTGTTGTCAATAATGAGTGATTTATCAAGACCTTCATATACCCAGTTCATCAGTTAAAGCATGAAACGTGTCTACAGTAGAAATGCAGGAGTGATAAGATTTGCCCTATGTCCCATGAACATAATCTGTGGTGTGTAAGAAAAGGACATATTTTATTTGGGGGGACAAATTTCCACATGGTCCATCTTTCAGGACCTGTTTTGCTAGAGTGAGCAGCAGTTTTCTCCATCTTCATGCTCATTCATTTTAGAAATGAGCCAGTCTGCCAGTCTCACCTTCTTCTCCTCTTCTATTTAAATGTTGCACATTTTGGCAAGTTCTGATTAAAAGTAAGAATGGAAATGAAATTTCCACCCATCCCTTATGCCCGTCTGTTTAACATTCAGACAGAAGGATGCTCCTTGTGGTGTAGCTGGTCTTGGAGAATCAAGAAAATCCACTCCATTGGCTGCAGAGCAGGGGAGATCTGGTGACACCAATGTCATGAGGTTGATGATAAACTTGTGCTGGGTTTTAATAATATAGCTATCCAAAACACTGACTCTGTTTTGGGAAATAGAGATCAGCATCTTGGATATATCCCTGGCAGCAAGGGAAGCCTCTTCAAAACCCTGAGGTCCCCGGATGGGAGACAAGTTGTCTTGGTCTGCATTCCACTTGAGGTCACCTGTCTTCTTCACTCCTACCTTAAAGATTCATTATTCTTCCTAGGAGGTGGCAGGGTTACTCTGGCACAGCAAAAAACAACACGGAGCCTTGTTGTACCTTTAAGATGAACAGATTGCACGTGGCATGACCTTCAGGGGACATACCCCACTTCTCTGGATATATTAGCCTATATATACTTCTTCCAGCAAAACGTGTGTTGGTCAAAGTGGTGCAGAATTCGTTGACTTTGTGTTGGCTTTGAAATTCATTGGCTTTGTGTTGATAGAGATGCTTGGAGGCCTGTGGAGTCTCAGATGGAGTGATTATTTACGATGAGCTCAGTGGAAGCTGCAAGAGTGAGGATTTCCCTTCAGATAATTAGAGGGTGACTCATGCAACTCTAGAGAGTAAGGCACAGTTACCTCTTGCCATGATGACATCATATTCTCCAGAGAACAATGACTCCAAGGTAGCCTGGTATCAAAAGGTGGAATATGCCATTGCGTTGGAGGTGTCAGTTTCCATGGAGCTAGATTTTTCCCCTCTTTTTGGGCTCATGCTGTTCTCTAGGGGTTGAGCACCCTGAGGTTTGGTTTTGCTTTGGAAGGCAAAGTTTTCTCTGACAAGAGGGCCACAAACAAGCTCTCTGGCTTGCTCATTGCCCAAGTGGTTTCTAGCCATTCTCAATGGGAGCCATATGGCCCCCTGGCACATTTGAAAGTGTGTGGGGGGGAAACAGACTGGAAACAGTTCTTCGCACACCACCTTATAGGGTTCATTACACACCCTAAACTATCCTGATTCGGCCTATATTGCTTTCATATTGTGTTTTTATGGCCATATTCCCCTCTGCTACATGGGGTCTGTGGGATTTTAAAGTTTGTAAATTGCCCAAAGTTGTGTGTGCACTAATGGAGCGATATATAAATCAAACAAATAGATTCCTTTGATCTTAATCATGGTTCCTGTGATCAGTCTTATGCATTGCATAAGGGCAGAATAAATGTGTTCCAATAGGACAGTTTTTTTTTCCTGATTAGCTGGATCAAAGAGGAAGAAACAAGCTTGGTAATGTTCTTTTTCTCTCTTCCGTTGCTTTCCTTTTTGCCCCGGGCAAATTGCAATGCTATGCCTTCACTGATTTGGTGAGGTATCGTGGTTGCTTAATAGCCCTGACCTAGTTCCCAGGCTGGGAGGGCAGAGGACAGGGCCCCTGGGAAGAATTCCAGAGGGAACTGGTCCTCTGTTTAAAACCAGGTGAGTGGACCCCTCTCGGCTAACTGCACGGAAGCAGCAGTGGGTCTAGTCTGTCGATTTAGTAGATTTATTTGGAGAGTCAAGACAGCCAGATGAGGAGCTGAAGACCCTTCAGGCTCGCAGGCTGTTGCTGCCAAGGAGGATAGTGCCAAATGAATTCATGTTCCGAGGCGAGGGTGTGGAAGCTTGGGATTTGCAGATTCGTTCCAACAAGCTGGAAATTCTACATGGAGTGCCAAAACGGGTACAAACACACAACGCGATGGGGAGCAATAGTCTGCCTGTATTCCTCCAAATTATGAGAAATAATGGCTTGTGGAAGTCAGCGGGTATTCTCTGTGGTTGTTGCTATGTGCCATCAAGTCACCCATGACTTAGGGCGACCCCATGAGGGAGCCATCTCCAAAATGTCCGCTCCTGAACAGCCCTGCTCAGCTCTTGGAGACTCAAGCCTGTGGGTTCCATCTCATATTTGGCCTTCCTCTTCTCTTCTTGCCTTCCGCGTTTCCCAACATTATTGCCTTTTCCAAAGAATCCTGTCTTATCATGATGGGCCCAAAGTAGGGCTGCCTCACTTTCAGTATTTTTTTTTTTTTGCCTCCTGAGATACTTCAGGATTGATTTGATCTGGGATTCACTTGTTCATCTTTCTGGCAATCTCTGCAAAGCTTTCCTCCAGCACCACATTTTAAGCAAATCAGTTTTTTTTTCCTGTCAGCTTTATTATTCCCCCGGGTAAAACAAACTCTCTGTAAATAAGCTTTCAGATACGATTGTCCTCACTGTTCTTCTTCTGTGTCTTGAGAAATCAATTTTATGTCTTCCTCTCTCTGTAAGAAATGGTATTGCTCAAAGCAACATTCTAAGTTTGAAAGAGACCAGAACATGGAATAAATAGCCAGTGACAAGTAACATAGTTACCTATGACCAGTTACTTGTTGGGAACAAGTAATGTAACTAGTAGTTACAAAATAACTTCAGGTAATTAGTTCTATTATGAAGTTTGGCTACTGTGGCTATAAACTCCCCCATTGATCCAATGTTGGTTTTCTAGCTAAAGTTCATGCAAGAAACTTTTAGGAGTCAAAAATACAGTAGGTGAGGTATCTTTTAGCTAAGTGGCTCCCAACCTTGAGTAACCCAGTTGTTCTTAGACTACGACTCCCAGAAGCTTTCAACACAAGATGTGCTGGCTGGGGTTCCTGAGAGTTGCAGTCCAAGAACCCGTGGATATTCCTCAAGGTTGAGAACCACTGCTTTAGCTTGTTTTCTATATATGATTAGGTAGGGGTTGTGGAAGTTATTTCAGTCTGAAAGCGTAATTCAGTTGCGTTCTAATGATGGCTATGAATAAAAACAGAGAGTTCCAATCAGATGTATAGCACATTTTAGCTTTAAAAAATTCTCATCCATTATTAAGCTATAATTTCAGTCCTTCACGGTGGAAAAAGTCAGGGAAAACACTAAAAGAAGCTATTAAGGTATTGTGAAGTGTAAGGTGTGGCCCTCATGGGAGACTTAGGTGATCATATTAGGCATTTTGGACCTTACAGAAACATTTTGAACAATCCCCTTTAAAAAAAAAATCTCACATTCACCTTTTTTTGCTTTTTATAGGAGAGAAAAGATTCCTGTTTGGCCCCCCTGAGAGCCATATAGTTCTCTACCATGAACAGGGGACGCCTTCTGTGTTCGTGGGAGCAGAAAGCAAGCTTTACTATCACAACTTCGACAACTCCACAGACTATGAAGTAAGGCGATTTAAGGCACAATTGACCAAGTTGAACGCACAAACTTAGACTGTATGCTTTAATAGTTACATTTTGAACTTTAAATCCATCCATTGGAAAATTTACCAAACTCTGGAGAAGCACCGAATCTCATATCAACAAATGGCTGCAACTTCAGAACGATCAGTTCCCTTTTGGGTTGGTCTGGAAAAATGGCAAAGTTTTTTTTCCCCCTTGGCACAGCCCGATGGGGTGGGAAGACACTCTGTTTGTCATGAAATGTTAAGTCCAGCTGGTGAGGCTTGCGGTAAGCTGTGACATTAGGAAATGGTGCCCAACCAGTAAGAAGCATTATTCTTTTCTAATGTGTTCCTTTCAACATTTTGAAAAAGCTACAACTCTTACATTTCACCAGTTACCTGGAAGATGTAAGCAAAAATGTAACTTGGCCAAGATCTGCTTTATTCTAATTCTCTCCCATTGCCCCTTGCCTCTTCCTAATCCCTTCCATGGACCATTGATCCGTCGTCAACAAGAACAGTTAGTCCCTGCCCCCCCCATTCTCCCCCCCCCAAGTTCTCCACCAAGGGTTTTGAGACAAGAACATTCTGAATTGCTACTTTTCTCTATGTATTCAGCAAGAGAGATTTCAGAAAGCTCGGGTGTGGGAGAAATGGAAAGTGACCGATTCATTCAGCCAAGCCCACCAGGGTTTTCAGAACAGAGGTGTTAAAAAAATCTGGCTTCACAGCCCCAGAGAGGTGGCTTATGTTAGTGACTAGTTTAGATCAAAGTTATGTGAAACTTTTACATTTCAGTTTTGAATAAGCACTTATCAAAATGTGCACATTTCTCTATATGTTGCATAAATATTCCCCACTTTAAAAAAAAACTTTATTTTGTAAAAAAAATATAGGAGAAAAGGAAACCAATAGATTCCTCCTTTCAGCCACAGTTATTCAGACTTAAAAGTCTGGGTTTTGCAAACCATATTTTAAGTGGCTGTTTGCACTACCTCCTCTTCCCATGAGCTCCTTACCTGTAACAGCTGTGTAACAGACAGGTATAACCTGTCCCTCTGGGCTAAGTCCTACAAAATTCAGGCAGTGTCAATGTGGAGAATTTGGTCTAGTTTTTTTTTTTAATCAAGCTCTCCAAATTTGCAAGGAGTAAAATTTGCAAATTATTGGATTTCTTCCTAAACTCAGTGGAAAGAATTTAGAGACTGAATGTGTAGGCAAGTGAAGCTGCAAGATCTATGCTAGATGAAACATAGAAGGCACAAAGAAGATGTACATTTATGGTTCAGCGAGCCATCCCATCTTCACAGATGGGAAGATGTACAAGAAAGGCAGCTCTACGGTTGGTTCTCCAACCCTGGGAAGAGTCGTTCCCAGTCGTTTTAATTGGTAAAGCTATTCTTTGCAAGATGAACCTCTCTCCAGGCTGTATTTAGTTTTCCCTTCGTCCATTACTTTTGCAACTTCTTCGTGGTGGGTGTTCATGAACCATTCTGCCTATGGATAGCTGGATGGAGGCTGCCTTTTAAAAGAATACACCTTTTTCTCTCTTTCCTTTCATTCAGGTACCTTTTAAAACAACTAGAAAACCCAGTAACTGCAAAAATGTAAGTTGGGAAGAAAAGCTGTTGTTGCCGTTTTGCGTTATTTCTTTCGCTTTGTCTCATTAACTACTGTTTATTATTAGTTATGCAATTTATCACTTAATTCACATCCCACCCTTCATCCAGTGAACTCAAAACTGTCACATAGGGCTCTCCTGTTCCACACTTTATCCTCACAAGCCAGTCCTGCGATGTGGGTCAGACGGAGAGGGACAGACTGGGACAGGGTCCGCCAGGGAGTTTCACAGCTCAGTGGAGACTTGAATCTGGATCTTCTAAACCTCAGTTCAGGACTGTGCCAGTGAAGCCATACTGACCAAGTAACTACAGTGTTGCCTCGCTTTACGATTGCCCCACATTACGATGAAACTGCTTAACAACGATCTTTTTGTGATCGCAATTGCTATTGCAAAACGATGGTCTGAATGGGGGAATTTCGCTTTGCGATGATCAGTTCCCTGATTTGGGAACTTATTCTTCGCAAAATGACATCAGTTCCCTGCTTTGGAAACTGATTCTTCGAAAAATGACATTTTTAACAGCTGATCGGCGGTTTCAAAATGGCCACCAGGTGATTAAAATGGCTCCCCGCTGTGTTTAGGGATGGATTCCTTGCTATACAGGCAGCGAAAATGGCCTGGAAGATGTAGGCAAAAATGTAACTTGAAATGGCCTGGAAGATGTAGGCAAAAATGTGACTTGGCGCTGGACGTTGAGTTTTTACCCCATTGGAACGCATTGAAAGGATTTCAATGTGTTTCAGTGGGGTTTTTATTTTCGCTTTACGATGTTTTCACTTAACAGTGATTTTCTGGGAACGGATTATCGTCATTAAGTGAGGCACCATTTGTACTGAGAAGGTCAAGTGACTAGTGAATGAGTGGGGAAGGCCTAGACTTGGTTTTCTAGACGTTGAGTTTTTACCCCATTGGAACGCATTGAAAGGATTTCAATGTGTTTCAGTGGGGTTTTTATTTTCGCTTTACGATGTTTTCACTTAACAGTGATTTTCTGGGAACGGATTATCGTCATTAAGTGAGGCACCATTTGTACTGAGAAGGTCAAGTGACTAGTGAATGAGTGGGGAAGGCCCAGACTTGGTTTTATAAATTGGGGTTCAAGTAAAGGGTTGAGTACTGATCTGGGGACAATACTCAACCCTTTATCTGAATTTGGTTGAACCCCAATTGCAAACCATATTCTGCTTTGCAAACCATAGCTGAGTTCACTGTTTAAAAAACAGCTGGGCAGCTTTGACAAGTGTAGGGACAAATGTGCGTGTCCCACCCACAGCATGTCCTGGGGTGTTTCTCTCCCCCAGTGCCAAAAATCATCTCAGATCAAAACCAGAAATGATCAGGGGTTGCTTCCATTTCCTCTTTGCCCCCAAAGGCGTGAGGGTGGGAGCTGTCTCAGTTCATAAGAGACGTGGCTTGTCAGAACGTTGCTTTCCTTGTTTAATCTCCCGAGTTCTTAAAAACCTTTGGGGTGGTGGTGGAGTGGGACCTTCTGGGCTGGGGAAAATAGATCAAGAAGTGTGTGTTCTCACAAAAACAGTGTGGGAGGCTGTATTCCCTATGACATCTACCCCCTCCAATGTCCAACTCTCTCTTGTACCCTGTGATGTTCTTCATTCCTGCGCTGCAGGAGGCTATCTCAGGCTTTTCCTTTTTATTTCTTCCTGTGGCCAAAAACTGTGCGCTTCTTATCTCCAGCTGAGCCTTGAGCTGTATCTGGGTGGCTCTGCTGGATCCATAAATCATTTCCCAGGCCAGATTTGGATACTGACTGTCTTAAGATCGGAGGCTCCAGCAGTGCAGCTTTACCGAAGACACCACTTCGCTTCTTCTTGCTCTCTCCTCCTCTTTAGGAACCAGAGTGATGTTTAGTGTCATCTTGTCTCTTTATCTTCTTCTCAGCCATTCCACTCCCCTCTTTCTTTCAGGATGATGACAAGAATTATCTTACGCTCCTCGAAAAATATCAGGAGAAGTTGTTGATCTGTGGCACCAATGCCTGCAACCCTACCTGCTGGAATTGGGTATGGAATGCCATGTGGCACTCATGGTGTCTTCTCTTTCTGCTGTGATATCTTGATGCATTAGTGCCTGCAGGGCTGGCAGAGGGAGGTAATCACTTTAGATAGCAATGCAGGGCGACAACAGTAGAAGTTTTTTTCTGAGTACTCTCTGTTCCTCTCTCATGTGAGACAGAGCCGTTGTCACGCTTGGCCTTTTCCATGCTCCTAAACTGTCCTGCTGCCTTTAACTACATTTGTCCCATCTTGATAACAGAGCATGAAGGTTTTGCTTCTTAGAGGACAAAAACCGCATAGGCAACATGTCCTAAAACAGTGGAGGCAAACCTTTTTCAGCTTGAGTGCCCAAAATGAGGGGGTGGAGAAGAAACCAGTGGTTGCCCGGAAGACCAGAACTGGAACAGGAAGTGGCATTTTCAGGGGGAATCATGGGGACGAACAGGAAGTTAAAGGGGGAATCATGGGGACGGACAAGAAGTTAAAGGGGGAATCATGGGGATAGACAGGAAGTTAAAGGACCCAGAACAGGAAGAGAAAGGGGGAATCCCAGCTGCAGCCACTTCAAAAGGTTTGTCGCATGCCAGAAGAAAGGGCTTCGCATGTCAGCTGTGGCACACGTGCCATACGTTCGCCATCACTGTCCTAGAGATTCTGGAAGCAGTACTTTTAAAAATGTTTCCATGGTCTGGTTGATATACATTTCAAATTTCAGTCTAGGTGAGTGGTACAATCCTCACATGTTTTGTGGCCACATGAGTATGAGAAGTTGATTCCATCTGGTCACAGAGGGTGAGATGCTTTCTGACTGAGCCAACTGGAGTTTTCATATTTGTGAGGAAAAGCACTGGATGAGTTGCTCACGTCTTTTTCCTCCATCCGCTGACCTTTCTATTCTTGCTCTGTGTGCACATGCACTTTGCTTCACAGAGGGATAAAATGCTAGTTTTGCGCTGAGGCATTTTGAACAAATTGTAGAAATCTAAAGGGGGGGGGAAAAGGAACTTTGTCTCATTTTTGTGCTGGAGACCTGAGGAATCTCCTAAGGCTTGACAATCCCTCGTTGTGATTCAGCATGTTGAGACAGCCGAAATCAAAGGAAATCAGGAATTTAACAAGTGTTCTTCACATGCATGCTTTAAAAGTAACTTTCCAAATTCTGGTGGATGCTGGAGTTTTGGAAGAACCTGTTTTGGAGACATCAACCTTGTGTTATATGTTCTATCCTTCTGCAGGTACATGGGAAGAAAGAGATATTTATGCATGCCCAGGGCTTGGCCCCTTTTGGCCTTGATCCCAATGCTCTTGTTCTTGTTGATGGTAAGTCTCATATTTCTGGTCCACATGTGATTCGTTACTTGAAAAGTGATTTCCACGATGAGCACCTTTCGTCACAACTAGAAGGAAAGGATGCGAGTTTTAAAAACCTGCGCTGTGGGAGCCAGTGAAACTGGTAAACAGGTTCCTCCACACAAAGAATTCCAAATGTTTAGTTCTTAAAAGTTCAGCACTGAATCTCTGTGTATTTCAACCATGGTTGTTGTGGGTTTTTCGGGCTCTTTGACTGTGTTCTGAAGGTTGTTCTTCCTAACGTTTCGCCAGTCTCTGGGGCCGGCATTTTCAGAGGACAGCACTCTGTGCTCTGGTGCAGTTTGTTTGGGGGTTGAGTATTGATGGCTGTGAGATCAGCTTTTGTCCTTTTCAGGAGATGGGTGATTATGGTGATCAGTGTGTTTTTGTTGTGGGTGTATTGTTGTGATAAGGAGGAGAGATGATCTGTCACTGTGATTGATTGGTGTTGTTAGCTGGTCTTTTGTGTGTAGTGATCACCGGTCCTCGTGGCTGGGTAGAGGAGAGTTCATTGACCTTTAACACGCTGTATTTTTCAACCATGCTTGTAATGCTGAATTAGGGTTGCCACTTCTTTTGTTTCATGATGGACTTCTTATCCTTAATGGCTACTCAAGTACAAGATGGCTCTCTTCTTACTGACGGTAGCTATACGTATTAACTTTGGCCATTGCAAATGAAGCCTGTGTTTACCTTCTGATGACCAATTACAAAGCAAAAGCAGGCTAATGGACTACATGCCAAAATGCCAAGCTCATGCTAGGATAAGATGCCATCTGCTTTTTAAGAGAGCTCACCTGTTGATGAAGCATTCGCTTTACCAGATGGTCGTACTGTTATCACGCACATACTGGCTTTCTGAGCACTTGAGCTGATGCCCGGAAAATGTGTCTAATGAGCAGCATCTGAATGGGATGGGTATGTTTCCAGGCAACAATTTAAATGTTGATAATGTAGAAGGAAGCCCTGCACCACTTTGGACTGGGAAATTGAAAGCCTGCATTTTCTCCTGTGAGCTTTAAGATTCTGGGCAGAGGGGCCCTTCTCTCTGTCCTCCTGCCATCAAAGGTACATTAGCCGGGAAGTAAGGAGAGGAATTTATTAAGGATGCTTTGTGACACAGGAAGTCCCTGCCAAGGGATGCCAGGCTAGCCCCATCTTTGTTATTCTTCCACCAAATGCATAAATAAGACATATATGATCTCCCTTGCCTTATGTCCCATTAAGAATCTCCTATTGCTACTATGGCAGCCCCTTTGCTAGAAAATAAGAAAAATGATAAGGAACGTAAAAAACCCTGCTTTTGATTTTATATGATATTGCAGCAGGAGAAAAAAAGGATATATTTCAAAGTTACTCTAAGCACTCTGTAAAATCCTCATTATGGATTGGCCACAACATACCATGTTTGTTTAGAGTCATCATTTTGGAAGGGATGGTCCCTCTCGAATTGGCCTTCTCAGCCACACTAGACGCTGTTCCAAGTCCTCTATTCAGAGCACGTTCCCATAGTCTATCAAGACTGAAGGAGGCCGAATCTAAAATCTAATCCTCTTGGAACAATCGGAGACGACTAGGGAATGGTTGATTTGCGGCAAGAATGTGGAAGAGTTAGTCTTGTGGACGACAGCGCCCAGAATTCTCTTGCCAGCATGATCACCGGACGTTGTGGTCCCTAAACATAGCGTTTCCATGCTCTCCTTCTGGCTGTGTTTCTTTCTCACCTTGGTGCTTCTTTCCTGTATTCCAGGCGACGACATCTATTCTACAATCAAGAAGCATCAGTACAATGGAAAGAACCCTCGATTCCGCCGGATCCTTGGCTCTACGGAGCTCTACACCACAGACATGATGATGAAGAGTGAGTGCTGTGGGAATCCCTTTTGTGGAAGGAACATGATTAAATGTGGGGGCTTTCCGCGGGATCACTCTTTTAGCCGTTACTTCTCCCTGCGTTCCCAGCAGAGAACAAGCCTCACAGTCAGAGGAAGTCCTCTGGTGTGGAAGAAGCCCAGCCTTTGCCCTTGTGAGAGTAGCTCGGGGGACGCAATAACAAGGCAGGTACTTTCTGTGCAATGAATGCCACAGAGGCCAACTTCCCCCTCATGTGCGGGAAACCCACAGTAATGAGCCTCAGGTGATACAACTTTCCACTGGGCATATCCTTCCTTAAGGCCTTCTCTTTCCAAGCTCATTTCGAAAAGGAGGGACTCCCAGCAGCCCCGGATTAACCATGAAGCAAAATAAGGAGGCACCACAGATATTTTTTTTTCAGTGCTGGAGTGACCCTGGTGCAAATGGTGTGCTGTCCTTAACAAGCCACATCCCTCACCCTCGGCTCCCTCCTTCAAGAGCCCAAAGAAAGCCGCCTCCCTCCCAAAAGTGGTTGAGTATGAACCAGTCAAAACTAAAAAGACTCAAGAAAACTCATGTTTGGATTAAAATGATCAATCATCATCATCATCATCATAGCTTCTTCTTGTTGTTATTTACTTCTGTATTTTGGGAGGTTGGACCTGCTGGTCTTTCAGACACGTTGCATTACATGTGGAAGCCAAAGAAATAGCAGCCACTGTTAAAAGCACCCCAAAAGGGGTTTTAAGCTGTTGTCTGAGATTTCCTGACAGAATCTGTTTATATTATTCAAAGCGTGAAAGCACAAGATTTGGCCAGAAGCTGATAATTTGATTATACATATGACTTTGCATACAATATTTCTTTTTTGCCACATGCTATACAATTAGATTGTCATATTTTCTTGCATATGATGTGCAATTTATATGTTTTTTTCAAACTGTGGGACCTGCCATGCATTATGTTCAGGGGGGGGGCACGGTAATGTTTCCAGTGCTTAGGCCTCTGAAGGTCTTAATCTTAATCCGGCCTTCACTGCCAGGGCCGTTTCCACTTTATGATGATACATGTGGTTTTGTATGGCTTTCTTTTCTTCTAAGGCATTGCAGTTCGCACCTCTCCTACTTTAAGGAGGCTTGTGTAGCTGGAATGGCCTCACCTAATCTCAGGGAGGAGGAAGTGAGAGGGCTGAGGAAATCTTGAGGCATGCAGAAGCCGTTAGAGGATTCCTCCCCCACTTCCTCTGAAAAACTTGGTGGGAACCAAGTGTGCTCGGTGGCTGTGAGACAACAGCCGTCTGGGGCAATTTGTGGGGGACGAGGCAAATTGGGAAATAAAATGGAGTGGAGTTTGGGAGCGTAGCTGGCTCTAAGAGCAAGCAGAAGCTCTCCACACTGCACCATTTTGTTGCAGTTTGCAGTTCTTGACATTTTCTGATTTCTCAGCCTACAAAGACCATACAGTGGTGCCTCGCATAGCGAAGGTTAATCCCTTCCGGATTAACCTTCGCTATACCGAAACATCGCTAAACGGAATTTAAAAAGCCATAGAAATGCATTGAACTTCGTTCAATGCTTTCCTATGGCTTTAAAACTCACCGTTAAGCGATGTTCCTCCATAGTGCCGCCATTTTCGCGCCCTCGGTAAGCAAGGGCAGGGCGCGAAAATGCGGCGTGGACCTTCCGGCGGCCATTTTGGAACTGCCGATCAGCTGTTCTCCCCCGCTTCGTTATGCGTTATTTGCTAAGCGAATCGCTTAGCGAATATCGCAAAGCGAAAAAACGCCATAGGGGCCATCGCTGAGCGAATGCTCCAGCGATGGCCCAGAGCCCCTTGTTAAGCGATTTCATCGCTCAGCGAGGCGCTCGTTAAGCGAGGCACCACTGTAATTCTCCATTCTGGGAGTCCTACCTGACATCTAAATGAGGCTCACCCAGGAGAAAGTCCTCGACTGAAAGGCCGAGCTCCTCGTAAAAGCCTGTCTCTCAGATGAGCCACATTTAGATGCCTGTCAGGTAGAGCTCAGAAAATCCCATGACCAATATTTATCAAAAGTGGTACATCACTGGGTACCAGTTACTGGGGAAATGATGACGGCCATGCTATTAATGGCTTCTAGTCCTCGTGTATATGCTCACTCTGAGGTTCCAGAAGGCATACCTCTGAAAGTCGCCTAGAGTGGTCTTAACTAACCAGATAGGCGGGATATAAATAAAATAAATAAAATATAAAATAAAATAAAGTCAGCTGCTTGAGAAATCAGTGAGAGGGCTGTTGTGTGCAGGTCCTGCTTTGGGCTTCCCAGCGGCATCTTGTTGGTCTTTTAGGGAACTCAATGGACCAGAATGACTTTGGGTCTGATCCAGCACAGAACACATGTTCTGTTCTTATTTGCAGATCCACAGTTTGTGAAGGCAGCTATGGTAAAGCAAGACAAGCCTTACAATGCCAAAATCTACCTCTTCTTCCGAGAGGACAATCCAGATTCTTCAAGGAATCCAGTGGCCTCGAAGAGCATCTCCAGAGTGGCTCAGCTGTGCAAGGTAAAGGCCTGGGGACGAGCCATCTTGTGTGGTGGTGGGGAAGCACGTTTCTTCCAGAGTTTTCAGAAGGAGAAGGCGTCCACAAGTTTGCTTAACCGCTGGCTCTTTGTCCATATTCTGAAGGTTTTTCTTCTTAACATTTCGTCCAAGTTTGCTTAATCGCTGAACTGATACATGATGGTTTAGATGGAACAGATGGCTACAAAACATGGTTTGTAGGAAGAAATAGCTTCCGGTGACCCCATAATGTGATAGAGACAAGAAGAAGAGGTTATACAGATACTGAGCTCAATATTTTTTTTTCCTTTTTTCCCCCCTTTGCTTTTTTCCTCCTGCTCCTCCTCCTCCTCATAGAACAGGAAGTTGCCAACACGTAGCCTAACCTAAAAGCCTTCCTTTCTCCTGCAGGGAGACAAAGGAGGCAGCGGTTCCCTCTCGGCATCCAAATGGACAACTTTCCTGAAGGCCACTCTGCTCTGTGTTGATGGTGATCGGCATTTTAACCACCTGCAGGATGTCTTCATTGTCGAGTCACCCATCTGGTCTCAGACAAAGATCTATGGACTCTTCTCCAATGAGTGGTGAGTGTTCCTATGGGCCTTACCCCTATGCAAATACCTCACTTGGACTTCCTCAGGGTTTAAGGTGGACTCTGGTGGAGATGTACCTTGGGTTTGAGGTGGTTGCAGATCAAGAGATCGGAGCAATGACATGAAGACATAGCCAGCCACCTTGATAAAGGTGAGGGCTTGGACTGTTTTAACACACTGGTGCACTGGCTTGAGTGTGCTACTTTATCTAACGGAGCATCTCCCCGTGATGTACAGAGTCACACCCACTGGGAGACAAACCCAGAGCCGGGAATTGGGGGGGGGGCATTTCAACTGTGCAAAACTATGCAGTTCTTTCTTTCTATGTGTCATCAGTTTCTCCTTCTGGTGCCCCATCTCTGTGGGTCTCAAGCCAAGGTCTGCATATGGTGCTTAAGTCGTAGGTCTCTCTCCCTCCCCCACCCAAATGCTTTAATTAATAAGCAGGCTAATAACAGTGTTTCTCATTTTTGTACACAGGGAATATTCAGCAGTCTGTGTTTATTCTGTCGGTGCCATTAGTGAAGTGTTCAGAACTTCGCCACTGAAAGGCTACACTGGAGAGCCCCCTGCTGTGAGGCCAGGACAGGTAAGCGGCATGTGGAGAAAATCTATAGGCAAAGTTTACTTCTGACGGCAATTTTGATTTTTAAAATATCAATTACATCTTAGGCTTCCTAAAACGTCTGAGATACATGTTAGGACTAATACGAGCTTGCCTCTGAAATCTCATCAAAATTATTTTCTCTGGCTCCAAGGACATGCTTATATGATATAGAGCTGACATCAGCTTAAAAGCGAACCTTGGTTTTAAGGTCAAAGCCAAAATACATCGCTTAGATACAGACAGATTTAGACCAAGCAGGGTGCAAAACATTTAACAACTTTGCCTCAAAAGCCTCAAAACTTAGGAAATCTCTGTCTGTAGTGGTTTGCAAAATTTGAAAGGGATTTTCAGTTTTGTCCAAATGAGCTTCAGAAATGTTCCCTGAGGCAAAATATAGTATAGAGGCTCATGTGAAATGTTAAGAAGAAAAGGATGGGGAAAGAGAGACCAATAAAACAAGGACCAAATCAACCTAAGGTACAAAATTATACTTACTGTGGTCCAGCTGACCTGCTGACCCAAGTCTGTAAAATACAAGGTAATGATAGAAGATGCTGCCAGGCTCTTTATGTTGACAGAGTCTTTCAAATAGGGCCCATCTGTAATAATAAAGAAGCAAGGAGAAATGTGTGTTAACCCAAACTCAGACAATGTATCTGTATGACACATTTGGCAGAGAAAAATCACCTCACATCTTCTTCTAAGACCACAGACATACTAAGCCTAGCCACTACCACTGAAATTATCAGTTCTGTGCCAGATTTCTGCAAATAATAATAATCATGAGCTATCAAGTCAATTCTGACTTTTGACAACCCTTTTCAGGGCTTTCTAGGTACAGAATAAACAGATATGGTTTGCCATTCCCTTCTTCTGGGGGTGTTCTGGGATTGTGCAGCTTGCCCAAGGCCACCAAGGCTGGCTCTTCTCACAGGAGGCACAGTGGAGAATTGAACTCCCAACCAGATTGAACTCTAAACCACTAAGCTATCCAGGTAGCAGCATCTCAGATAGCTCCTGGAAAATTCAGACTAACATCACGAATCCTGTGAAATTGGAGCCACTGATATGCACTGTAGGTTGGAGAAGGCTGCTTGACAGTCTAGAACATGTGTCCAAAAAGGGTGATGGGTCCAATACTTCTCCAGGCTGATGTCTTGGTTGACAAATGCCACAGGATAGCCAATGGTTAAGGATTGTGGGAGATGCAGTTCCAAAAACCTGAAGGGTGCTAGCTTGAGCAAAGCATCTCTAATCACTACTCCATGCTAGTTTTTATGTTGGGCATTGCTTTAGAGTCTTGTCACCAGAATGTATTCTGAGATCTGATAAGCCAGATCTGACCACTTGATGACTTTGCCACTCCACCTTATTATAGTTAAGCCCAAATAATAAACATCAATTTAAATTTTAGAAAAAGTTTGAAGGTCCAAGAGAGGAGGAAACGGGAAAAGATCAAAGGATGGGGTGGAGGAGGAGGAAAACTGGAAAGAGGAGGATGGACAAAGCAACATGTTCTAATGGTTTCTCAATTTCTTAAATGGAATGGGTTATTAAAACCTTCTGCTGGTCTACTTTAAGCCCTCTTCTCCCCAGCCAAGATCACAACCCACCTTTCATTTTTTCTTATTTCACTTTCTTATTTCTCATCTCCCTTACCTTTTCTGCAGACAGAGGGACCATCCACAAGGTTGTAGTACTGCCAACAGGTGCCATAAATGTCCTGGAGATCCAGCCATTCCAATCTTCTGCTGTCATCCAATCCATGATTTTGGACACTGCAAGAGTAAGTAAAACCTCCACGTGTTGGTCTTTGATGATCTCCCTATGGTGTCCATGGAAATCTGTCCAACCTACAAGGCCCATGAAAAATATGTGAAAATTGTTGCCTGCTTTTCTGTGGGTGGCTGGGTGGTTGAAACTGAATGGTTGCATGTGTCTGGTGCCCAGCCTGGTTTAAACCCTGCCTCCATGGGTGGCTGGGTGGTTGAAACTGAATGGTTACATGTGTCTGGTGGGCTACATGTTGCCCAGCCTGGTTTAAACCCTGCCTCCAAAACCTTTTCACTATGGAGCCATTGCAGAGCAGAACTCCAATCTTGTAATCTTCCTTGGTCCTGAATGTCTCTGAGACCCATAGCCAGGTGGACCTGTGATGCCAACTGAGGAAAGGCAAAAAGTGGAGCACTTTCATTGTGACTCATGAGCCTTCTTGTTGTACCAGCCCTGCTGGCAGCGGTGGAAAGCCTGAAAAGACTCCCCCTCCCAAATCTTGCCTGCCCATCTCTGTGACATCACTAGGGCTTGCCCCAGGGACATCGCAAGAGTTTGCCCCTGATCCCACATTTTGGCTCTGAAATCTCAGGTGATCTGATACTGCTGACTTGGCCAACCTGGCCTATAATGTCCCAGATGGTCTCTTAGTCCCATGGCTTGGAAGAACATCTCACAGTTGTTTGCTTTCTAAATTTCCTCTGCAGAAAGAGCTGTTTGTGGCCTCTCTGAGCGAAGTCGTCCAGCTCCCTCTGGCCATGTGCGGGGCATATAAGAACACTTGCGGGAGCTGTGTACTGGCACGAGATCCGTACTGTGGATGGACTGGTGAGAGGTGTGGTTCTGTTTATGACCACAAGCAACATGGAAATAGGTATGCCCCTCCAGCACACATCTTCCCGTTGGTTCTCTTCTACATTGCTATCAATGCACTCCTATAAATTCCAACCACACTATCATCTGGCATATATCTCAATATAGTTTCCATCTTTTAGACAGAAATAGCTTTCTAGTTTAGCGTGCAAGTCCCACATGCAGCAGAATAAGAGAATAAAGGTGAAGCAGTTGGGCTTGCCATCAGAAGCAGGAGATAACATTTTCTAAACGAGCCTAATTTGAAAACTCCCTGCAAGTGGAAACTTGTCATAACAAGGAAGTAGATTCAAGCTGTCCCTATTTGCTCCTGTGTTGCTCTTCTACTTGCAGGGAGTTTTTTCACAAAGGGTGGCATTCAAAAATTATGATTCCTCCCTTGTTCTATAACTGTAGGCTGTTATGCGGCTAGGAATGTGCAGGACCACCCCAGTTAGGTCTCAGATCCAGAGCAATTTGTGGCCCAAACCAATTCAATTTCTGTCTGAGATTTGAGTTGATTTGTAAGCCTCCCACTGAGGTGCATTGAAAGACAAAAATGGATTTGAGTTTTGTTGTTTCTACACCTGAAGTCTGACACCTGATAGACCCTAAAAAGAGACAGCTGTTTTCAGGGTTTTGTGTATTAGCCATCTTTACAATTGTATTTTTGAAAGAAAAGGCTGAATAATTTATGCTCTATCCAATTTGATTTGTACTCCAAAAACAAATTGATTTGTAAATTTGCCCTGCTATGAAACTGAATCCAGCCTTGCTGCTTTTAACCTGGATTTTGCATAAGTCAGTCCAAATCAGCCTGGTTCGATTAATAATTAAAGGATTGCCCCAATCCAGTGTGTATGACCTCTGTGGGGCAACACACTGTACCACTGTAGAATTGTATGGCTTCACTCCTGCTCTGCTGCATGTGTTGTTTTATCTCTACAGTCCTATCCATGTTGCTTCCTTTCTGCCTGGCTGCCTGCTTTCCTTCAAGCTTGTATCAGCCTGTAAAAAACAGTGCCGTGTCTCTCTCTATCATGCGACTCATGAGGAAGAAATCTTACTTATCACAAAGCATCGTCCAGATGGCTCTTTTAACCCCCTTGGTTCCTTAAGATACAGGGTGCAATTTTTATAGACAAGGCAAGTTGCCTAGACCTGTCTTGCCCTTATCCTAACAAGGGATTATGCTCCAGCATAATATTTCACAGACAGATTTATTACTTCTTGAGACAGGCAAAGTCTTTTTGTGTTGGATCTTCAATATCTTTGACATGAATGAGCCCATGTCAAGTGGTTGTGTGCAAAGGCCTTCTATGGACTTTCGAATGTGTATATGTATGATGTGAGGTTTATCTGGGCTTTCAATCTCTCATTTTAGGACGCTATTACAAGCTCTGACCCGTGATAACTCTTCCGATATTTGTTCCTCTTCAAGCAACAACACAAAAGGTAGAGTTGGCAATTCTGTTGTCCTTTCTAGACTTGGGGAAGAAACCAGTTGACACCTAGTTCCATCATGGGAGCCGCTTAGAGTGGTATAAATATACCAGATGGGCGGGATATAAATCAAATAAATAAATAAAATAAAATAAATAAACTCAGTTGGCATCTATTCTAAAGGGCCAGTAACACTATTGATCTCACTAACGTATGGCTCATCGGTGTAAGGTTTGTGTAACTTCTTATGATTAATTGCAGCTAATTGATAAGGTAGAGAGTCGGCATGGTGTAGTGGATAGAGTGTTGGAGTGAGACTCAGAAGATGTGTATTCAAATTCCTACATAGACATGAAAACTCAAGGGCATGGGTGACATGGGTAAAACCACCCCTTAAATATCTCACATACAGTGGTGCCTCGCATAGTGATTGCTCTGTTTAGCGATGAAATCGCTTTGTGACACATTTTTTGCGATCACGAAAGTGAACGCTTTGCAATGTTCCCGATGGGGGAATTTTGCTTTGCGATGATCAGTTCCCTGCTTAGGGAACCGATCATCGCAAAGCGCCCATTTTCGCACAGCTAATCGGCAGTTTCAAAATGGCCACCGGGAAAAAAACATGGCCGCCCGCTGTGTTTTCGCACAGATTCCTCGCTTATCAGGCACCAGAAATGGCCACGCTATGGTGGATCTTTGCTGAACGGTGAGTTTTAATCCCACATTAATCAGGTTTTAATGTGTTTCTATGGGCTTTTTTATTTTGCATTGCGACGTCTTCGTTCTGCAGCGATTTTTGCGGAATGAATTAACGTCGCAATGCGAGGCACCACTGTACTTTGAAAACCCTACTAAGGACACTGCGAGTCAGACATGAGCTGACGGCACATTACACACACACTGTTGATAAGATTGCAGGTGTATCTATCTAAGATGCACACCAACACCATGTCCATTAACCATGCAAGTTATGAGAACCTTGCATGAACAACAAGAAGGTTCAAGCCAATATGTGATTGTAACTAAATTCCCACTGGGATATCACTACCTAGGCTTGCTGGAAAAGCCATTCAGTTTGAGTCTTTGTGCAATCTCTTAAGAAGCTGGTTTTGGAAAACAGGAAAGAAAAAGAGGTGGTTTTCATGTCTTCCTGCTCAGCCCGTGTACAAGGCATTGATTAAAATAAAAGTTGTGCTCTGTGCTTTCTAGAAGAAATTGCTGTTAAAATTTCTGTAAGAATTTCCCCATAAACTATCTCAGCCTTTCTTGACAGAGAACTTGGAGAAATAACTTTTCTCTCTAGAAAAAGTTGCTTGTTGACAATGAAGGGAAAAAGCACGGAGCTCATAGCAGAGCTGGGAAAGGCAAAGGATAACTGAGATACTTTCCCTCTGACGTATTTAAGGTTTTCCACAAGCCCTACTCTATTAGTAAGTGGAAAGCCCAAAATATCAGATAAGGAAAGTATCTGAGTATCTGAAAAGTATCCATTTCCCGTCATATATATACTGGGTGGGGTAGGGTGGTAGAATATCTTAGAGGTTTACAGAGGTCTCCAGCAGGGTAGCTAGAGCGAAAGCAACCATCTCGTGGCACTCCAGGGAGTAGAAAGTTTTATTTAACATGAGTATTCGTGGCCTATAAAATCACTTCTGAAGCTTGGTCCATTTAAGTGTGGTGTGGGGAGAGTAGATGGGGTACCCAACTGCTTTGTGGTTCTGTTCTGCCCTATTGAAGAGCAGCTCTTTACTCCATCCTGATTAACACTGCCGATCAGCTGTAGGAAAATCGTCGTTTTGCGAGAATTGGTTCCCGAAGCAGGGAACCAATCATCGCAAAGCGAAATTCCCCCATAAGAAACATCGTTTTGCAATTTCGTCATAAAACGAAGTGCCCGTTAAGCAGGACACCACTGTATATGAAAAGTATCCATTTCCCGTCATATATATACTGGGTGGAGTAGGGTGGTAGAATATCTTAGATGTTTACAGAGGTCTCCAGCAGGATAGCTGGAGCAAAAGCAACAGTCTTGTGGCACTCCAAAGAGTAAAAAGTTTTATTTTAACATGAGCATTCGTGGCCTATAAAATCACTTCTGAAGCTTTGTACATTTAAATGTGGTGTGGGGAGAGTAGATGGGGTACCCAACTGCTTTGTGGTTCTGTTCTGCCCTATTGAAGAGCAGCTCTTTACTCCATCCTGAATTAACCCCATAACTCCACAAATAGCCCTGATTCAGTCCATTTCTCCACATTTGTCTGGAGGTAGTGCACATCCCCACTAAGAGTGGCAAGTTGTGAGGACGTATGGAGATAAAGTCACCTTGAAAAAAGCTCGGTTGCTCCATGCAAGCTGAAGCCATTATGCTTCTCCAACACCATGTTTCCCTTTCCGTTTCATGGTTGTGCAGTTGTCTCACATTTTCCTCTTCTTTCGTCTCCTCAGAATCTGGCACCGAACTCCATATGAATGTCACAGTGCCTCAGCAGTCCCGCTATTATCTGAACTGCACTGTTGAATCCCACCACGCCAATTATACATGGTTTCACAACAACCGAGCCATTCTGCATTGTCGTCCTGGCCACCGTCACTGTATCCACTTCATTGACAACATGACCGATGACCTCTACGGCACATATTCTTGCATTGCCAAGGAGGACTGGTTCACTCAGACACTTGTGACTGAAAACCTAGTCAAGCCCTTTTCCAAGACTATAGCATTCAGGGACAAACTGCATAAGGACACGGCCACCACCACATCTGTATCTTTCTGGCTGGGTCTCCTGCATATGCTAGCAGTTGTCTTGGTCATCCAGTAGACAAAGTCCATCTAATGACTTGCCATCATAGTTGATCACAAGGAGCCAGCCAGGCATGCTTTTCTTCTTCTTCTTTTGTTGGTGGTTCACAAGATATTCCCCATCTGAGAAGATAGACTTCTTACAGAAGGTAGAGATTTCTGATCTAATCCTTGTGTGTCCTATCCTCCCCGTCCACAGAGTGGAAGTTTGTCAAAAACACCTGGAGAACCAAAACTTGACAACCCACTTTGAAATAAGTATTTTGGACAGAAACATGGTTGGTATCATGAAGGGGGTGATAAATCTGATGATAAAGGAGAAGCATCTAAAATAGGGGAGATGGGGAACCTGTCACCTTACATCTGTGATGGCTTTATACTTTTTATTGTTACTGACCATAGGCCTTTTGTGCTGGATCTCATGGGAGCTGGGGGCCCACAGGGTACTCCACCCCTGTCAAAACCAACAAGGCATGAAAGAGCCAGTGGGTCAGAGGAGATGGCTGGAATTAGACAGTAGGGTTTTGGTGAAGGTCTGTATTGGCTCAGCCAATAGATCAGCCTGTAGATAGTTGAAACTCAGGGAGATGCCTATTTGTCCTTATGGGCCAGAAAGTTTGGTGGTCCAAAAGAAGTAGGAAGGCTGATGTCTATAAAGTTTTTGGAACCGGGCTGCATACTTTGAGCTCAGGTTTTATAAGATTTGGTCTCTGTACCAGCATGGGTGAAATACTTCTTGTCATGCGTAGTCTGCATCATGTAGACCTAGCCAGCTTAGCTGATGGGCACCACAAACAGTTGAGGGGATTTGCAATGCAACTCCACTCATCTGGATGATCATATATTTTTCAACTTTATTGTACTTTCTGGTTTGGTTTGGGTTTTTTTGTTTTTGCAAAAGGGTGTATACTCAGGATCTCAGAATGGTTATCAGTCCCTACCAACTGATTTTCTGTAGGCATCCAGTTAATATTAAGATCAATGTCTGGTAGGCCTAGGTGCTCTAATATATGACCAGAAGACTAGTCAGTGTCCATCAGTAGAGAAGCTCCTGGCCACCCTTGACCTGTCCTGTCTATTCATATATTGGCCTGTTCCTCTTCCTGTTCATATGCCGAAGGGATCCCAAAGAGTCCCTCTTCTGCACTTTTGAGTTACACATCACAGTCTATTTATTTATTTATTGCATTTAAAATAAAATCTTGGCCAGTCCTTTGCAGGGAAAGTGCTCAGGGAAACAGAGAAGGATGATGGAAACTCATTTCCAAATAATGAAATATTAATGTAAAAGGCAGATGTGGAAATAAACAGCAGCAAACCAAAGAGCAAAAGCTGTAAAGAGGTCACTGCACAGTGAATGTCATTTCAAGCTAATGAAAAACTTCTCTGCTATTTTTTTTTAAATGATGAAAGTTCCATAGCGATGCAACATAGAGAGGGGAATCAAAGTCTGATTAACAAAAATACAGGCAGGCATGCACACAGATGATCGCAGAGAGATGCAGACGTGCTCAGAGGAACATACATATAAAAACAGAGAAGCAGATAGAGAGCTATAGAAATGGCTCAGTGCACAGAGATGCTTGCAGGGGGGGGACACGGAAATGTTTAGAGAGATACATAGAAGTACTCAGGAAGCATACACATAGGAGTACAAAGATGCTGTCAGAGAGAAATACATGATATGCACATATACAGAGATACATGCATGTAGAGACAGAGATGCTCACAGAGAGACGTGCAGAGAGTGAGAAGCATACACAAAGCTACAGATGCATATTGGGTCTGCATGTGTGCATCTATGCTTGTTAGCTTTTCATCTAATTGATGGCTAATATTTTTTTAAACGTAGATATGTTGCAAATTCATGCCTGTATTTGAACTCCCAGGATCCCTGGTTTGATAAGACCTGTCAAGAATTCAAAATGTGACAGATTGGGTCAAATGCAACCACCTAATTTAGTGATAAAAAATTTCATGACCTCCGAGCCACCACAGAGAAGGCCTGGCTGGTGAATTTTACGGAAGCATTCTTAAGAGGAACATCCTTTGTTGTTCATAATCTTCAGTCAAAGAGCAAAAAAAATTGAAATGCTCCTTTGCCACCTTAAACGTGTAACTTGAGAACAGCTTACTTGGAATGTTAAGTCTCAGCTGAAACTGACAGGACTTAACGTTTGAGAAAATGGGTTTGGGATTTGGCTATGAGAGCGCTAAACCGTGAAGGGCAGCGACTGACTTAAGATCGGGATCTCTAGCGTCCTGTCTTGATTGAGCAAGCTGTATGGAGTGAGCTGGCAAGAGGTCAGAGAGGATGTTAGACCTCCCTCCTCCACAAACTTCGTATTTTTAGTTTAAAGCAGAGCTGCATCGCAGAAACCTCTGAGCTGTGTGCGCCAACATTGGCAAAAACAAACCAACGAACAAAAGCTTGAGAAGTTCTTTCCACAACGTGGTTTGCCCACGGGACCAGCTTTCAGCCGTCCTTTGTCCCACTGAGGCAGGCCTCCAACTATGGCTGGGTCTGCCTGTGATTCAAACTGTGAAATATCAAGGGTGCTCTCCTTTTCTAGCCGGTGAGGGGTTTGTTTTGGCCCCCCCAATCTCTTTGCCTGGAAGCAGAGGAGACGTGCCTCATTGCACTACAAGTATTTGTGTGTGGTTTTGAATGTCCCTTTCATCAAGTCATTGTGGGTTTCCTTGTTGTTTTGCTGATTTCTCTCCATGCACTTTAATTTATTGTATAGATTTTTAACAAAGGAGCCAATGTACAGTATGTTGTTGCTATTTGTATTTTTGCACTATTTCACATGCATTTCCAAAAATATCTTTTTAAAATAATAAAGCTCTGCCAAGCTGATTTAGAGGAGAGGTTTGCTGTTCTTTATCTGCCTCACAGTTTTGTCTCATTTTTACCCTATGTCAGTGGTTCTTAACCTTTGTTACTCGGATGCTTTTGAACTGCAACTCCCAGAAACCCCAGTCAGGACAGGGTGAAGGCTTGATTTAGAGGAGAGGTTTGCTGTTCTTTATCTGCCTCACAGTTTTGTCTTATTTTTACCCTATGCTGCCTTTTGCCACTTCTTGCTTCTTGGTTATGTTGTACAACATTTTTAGTCTGTTTTCCTTCTGTCCACATGGTCCCCAGGAGGGGCCATAAAGATTTTTTAAAATGATTTTGCTTCCCTGCAGGCACATTGGACTACAGCTCCCATCCCAGGAGAGCTCCTATTGACTGGAGAAATGGGAGTTGTAGTCCAACCAAGCCCGATGGCAGCGGGTTGAGGAAGACTGATCTGAAAAATGGGGAACCAAAGGAAAAGGGAAGGCGAGGGAGGGAGAAATTTGCAGCTACAGTGCTGCCTCACATTACGACGTTAATTTGTTCCAGCGAAATTGCTGTAGAACAAAAATGTTGTAATGCGAAAATAAAAAGCCCATTGAGATGCATTTAAACCCCTTCAATGCGTTCCAGTGGGCTGGAAACTAACTGTCCAGCAAAGATCTTCCATAGGGCAGCCATTTTTGGTGGCTGTCTTGTGAGGAATCCGTCCCAGAAAACAGAGGGGAGCCATTTTATTTATCCGGTGGCCATTTTGAAACCACCGATCAGCTGGAGGAAAATCGTCATTTTGCGAAGAATCGGTTCCCGAAGCAGGGAACCAATCATCACAAAGCAAGAAAAAAAAACATTCAGACCATGGTTTTGCAATTGCAATAGCAAAAAGATCATCATAATGCGGTTTTGTCGTAATCTAGTACAATCGTTAAGCGAGGCACCACTGTATTGTCAAGTTAACAATACAGGCATAGAATATGCATTGCAATGGGGTACAGTGATGTTCCTGAAGGACTGTCCTGTAAAATATAAAACATACGAAATATAGAGCATTTGACAAAGTCAAGTCAAGATAGAGTCTGGATCTCATAGGCAGCTGGGCCTTGTGAGAGCGATCCTGGATTCATGCATGAGCTAAGCAAGTCACACTGCAGGGTCTCGGGGCCTCTGAATGGAATGGCTTTTCACTACAGTTCAGGATTTCCATAATCATTAGGATAGCACACATTTTGGATACTACTATGAGGCTGCTTGAGCATGACATTGCTTAAGGCCCTAATCCAGTGCTGGCGGCATGTTTAGCTGATCTTCATCATGCCTTGCTTTGAGATCCCTCTTTATCAATGTGGCTCACTGCCAGCTAAGTACGCATCCGGTTCTCTGCCTGTCTTGTTCTCATGCCCTCCAGGTGGTTGGGATGACAACTGCCATAATCCCTAGTCAGTTGTATTTATGGGAATGGTTGTCCAAAGTACCTGGAGAACCCCATGCTGCCTGCTGTCCTCTAACGCAGGTTTGCTTCCAAAGAAACTTGTCCCCCAAGGACCCAAATGCATCCCAACCCATTTTGATCCTCTGCAGGGCATGGAGAGACAATTTCACCAGGCCTAATGGAGTGGTTCTGGATGTAGAAAGAGTTGTACAGTGGTGCTTCGCTTTACGATTGCCCCGTTTAATGACGAAACTGCATTACGACGAACTTTTTGCAATCGCTTTTGCGATCGCAAAACAATGTTTTCTATGGGGGAATTTTGCTTTGCGATGATTGGTTCCCTGCTTCGGGAACCGATTCTTCGCAAAACGACTATTTTCCAACAGCTGATCGGCGGTTTCAAAATGGCCACCAGGTAAACAAAATGGCCCCCCCGCTGTTTTCTGGGACGGATTCCTCGCCGCACAGGCAGCAAAAATGGCCGCCCTATGGAAGATCTTTGCTAGACTGTGAGTTTACAGCCCTTTGGAACGCATTAAACAGGTTTTAATGCGTTTCAATGGGTTTTTTTCTTTTCGCATTACGTTTTCGTTCTAGAGCGATTTCGCTGGAACGAATTAACGTCATAATGCGAGGCAACACTGTATAACATACCACAGTGACGTGACGGCTGAAAAGTGATACCCAATGGGGTATGACAAATGTCCAGTTTTATTTAATAGCTGTGGAGGTTTGCCGAATGGGAAATTCATTTGGAAGAGTAGGCATCTTGGATTAATGCCCAGGTGGTCGGAAGTACAGCTTCATTTGGCACCCTTTAATTTATAAGAAAGAGAAATTGAAAACAACATTGAGATCTGTCTGGAGCAGAATTCATGGGTGAGTAAATAGGGGAGAAATTGATTTGCCCACCTCTCATCTAGTGGAGTTCCCATATGCTCTCTGCTGGTGCTCTGGTTTTATATTTGTTGCTAGGAATTTGTGCTGTTTCACTGGCAGAGTGTTGTGGTCTAGTATTGAGCTTTTAACACCTGTTTAATAATAACCGTGTGCCATCAAGTCAACCTTCCCTGGTTTTTTCCTAAGTTGAAACCACACAGCAGTGGTTCATTGCTCCCTCCTTCTGGTGATGCTCATCAGCCACACATGCTCCAGGTGATCATGGCTGGTCCCTCTCCTCGACGGCATGCTAGAGATTTGAACCCATGATCCTTGGCTCTACCCACCAAGGTATACCAGCTCTTTTTAAAAAACCACTGTTAACAAAGGAAAACTTAGCTTTCTCAAAGGCTTTTACGGCCGGGATCCATTGGTTGTTGCAGATTTTTCGGGCTGTCTGGCCGTGTTCTGGAGGTTTTTCTTCCTAACGTTTTGCCAGTCTCTGTGGCCGGCATCTTCAGAGGACAGGAGTCAGAATTCAGGACCTACAACAACCAAAACTTAGTTTGTTAATTCAAGAATATCGTTTAAGAATAGTGCAGTAGAAAAAAAAACATTTAGTGTAGATACAAAAGCTGGATATGGATAACTGTCTGCTCTCTGCCACTTTTCTAATCAGGAACAAGAAGAAGCAGCAAAACAGGAAGCTCAGAAAGAGAAGCATGAAGCAAGTCTAATATTGTCAATTGACATGTAGATCAAGAAAACACATCAGCTTTCCATCTGCCTCCTGTCACTCACCGGTGTAGCATATCACATACTTTGGTGCTCTGTTCCAAAGTCTGTGGCAAATGAAGTAGCCTTTTAGCTCTCCAAGGACTGGCACTTTCGCCAATGACTGGAAATGGTGTATATGATATTAGCTACATACCCTAAACTTCTCCCCATGAAAGGAAATAAAATGCAGCAATACTGGCTCTGTGCCTTCCTGCCTTTTGGAAGTGTGCGCTTTCAGTGGTTGTATTGTTGGAAGACAATGCGGTCATAGTAAATTTCTGGGAGTTTCCAATTATATAAAGACAGATTTTTCCCTCATTTGTTGCCTTCCCATCTTTCACACAATGGATGGTACACCTTAACTTTCCTCCTTTTGTGTAAAGCACCAAAGCATTCCTATAGGGAGTAAACTAGACTCCTAGCAGCTCCGGCCGTGGATCAGAGCCCATTCTTGACTCTGGTCTCAGACTTCCCGTTTCACTTGGCTTATATTTGAGTTTTCTTTCCCGATAAATATGATAGGATATGTCTTTACTACTTTGTTTATTTCTTTCTTAAAGCAAAGCCACAGAGGTTGGTGTCCCCTCCCCACCTTGGAGGAACTATACAGGTCCCGCTGTCTTATAAAAGCACAAAATATTATAAAAGACACCTCCCACCCTGGGCACGCTTTGCTTGAACTACTGCCATCAGGAAGATGATATATAGATCTATTAAAACAAGGACAGATTTAAAAACAGTTTTTTATCCAAGTGCGACGACTTTGCTAAATTCAGTTACAATTTAATTATTATTTTTATTTTTTATTTATTAAATTTATACCCCGCCCCTCTAGACCATGTCTACTCGGGGCGGCTTACAACATAAAATGTTGTAAATTCAGTTACGATTTAATCTGATTTATTTTAGGGTTGCGTGTGAATGTATTTTGTTATCGTTGTATTATACTGGAATTTTGTAAGGAGTTTATATGGAGCTTTAGCTGAACGAGTGACGCACTGTCTGGACAGCACTCTGGTGATTTCGTTGCACATGCAATGACAAAGTGTTATTCTATTGTATTATTCTATTCTATTTGTTGATTGATTTTCGTAGAAGGAACAGTGAAGAGAAAACTGCAGCTACTTCTTGTCTTCATTCTGTGCAGATCACCGCAGGGGTGATCAGACAAGGAAATCGTTTGCATTTTGGACCACTTGTGGCCCATTTGATGGGAGCTACTATTTCCCGGTGAGCACAAGCAATAGTTTTCCAGCCTGACCTGATTCATGCCCAAGCTGGACATTTTTGGTCTAGCAGTAAGGCTATCCTTGTTCTGGGCCAGGCTGGACTGATTCCCAAATGGACCGGAGGATCGCTCTAAGGAAGTTTGCTCCTAGCAAAACAACTCTCTCCAGTGTGGTCGGATGCAATTTTTCTCCTTGCATCCTCTGGTGGAAGTAGTTTCTTCTGCCTGAATCAGAGTGACCTTGGTTGGAGGGGGGTTAGACCTTGACAAGATCAAACTTGATGTGTCTGCACATCCCCAGCTGGATCTAAACCATGCGGTTTCTGCTGAGCTGCAGCCTTTCTCTTGAACGGTGAGAGAAGCCTCGGAGGAAGGAAGCCTTCATTCTCATGGAGGCTGGTCAACCTAGGCAGGAATCCCCTTGATTCAGTCTGGGGTTCAAGTCAAGGCTTCAGAATGCACCCCAATTTGATCAGAAGTGATCTGTGCCCCTCTCCAATTTGATTTGTCCCACACATGTGTGGATCTGGAAAGTCAACGCACAGAGAAACTGAAATGGTTATAACTTTTGTTGTTGTTTTAATGCAGATGTACATGAAATTTGGAGATACAGTAGACCCTAGAGAGAATGGAATAAACCTGACAAATCGCAGGCAGCTAACTCGCAGCGTTTTCCCGCCTTTGGCAAGCGGGGGGAGGGCGCGA